CGCTGCTTGATAGAGCAGCCCTTCCGCTAGAAACAGTACACAGTCATTTGGATCTTGCTCGTCATAGCAACCTAGTTCTAAGACTAGGGTATCATTACTCCAAAACCCCTCACTTAAAAAGTACAAAACCGCATGGTTTTTGGCCAAATGCGCCTCATATCACAAATTCGGGCATTCTGGGAGAGAATGAAGTATTAAACGTGGCGTCAAAATACGTGGTCTTAAGCTCCCGAGATTCCCTGGAATGCCTGGTTTTAAGTCAGTCGCCCTCCGTGGTCTGATGAAACCGTAACGTATAAGGTACTTACACCATCTCTAGAATCTGGTCTCCGAGCAAATTTAGCGGTGGGATCCGCCTTATGCCTGAGTGTATTATTCGCCTAGAAAAATGATCAAAACACACACTATTACAATTTAATTTTTGTCTATATGTTAACGATCTTAACTCGACAGTAAAAATGGACGGCGTCAACTTTAACACGCACGATTTAGCGGTTTCCGCGGGGTTTCGACTTGTAAAACCACCCTGTTGGAGGGAGCGTCATGTTATACTTACAGAATACGTAAACGTGGCAAGTGGGTCTCGAACACCTCCTTCGGAATGTCGTTGAGACTAGTTAGTCGATACATAGCCCTACGGGTGGAAAGAGAAGAATAATATAAAGAGTAATTAATACTAATGAGTAACACTTTATTCAAAACTATTCAGCACAACGTGCTTGCACCTCTTCGTTACACCGTACCAGTTGCAGGCTGGACTCCGGTCTATTTAAACAAGCTATGCAACCAGATGGATCAATTTCGGAAACACTTAATTTCCACGCAAGAAGAAATATACTTCACGCTGAATCGTGTCGCCATGGGCAGAACCACTCCAATATCATGAGTGCAATCGCACAAACAACTCCTAAATTGAATGAATAGATAGAAATTGAAATGACACACGCAATTATAATGCAGGTGCTCTTTGCCATCGTGCCGAAACACCGAGAGAGGAAGCGAGACAGTAGAAGGGGAAAGGGGGGGGGGCGACCAAAGAGATGCCAGACAGGAAATGAGAGGACTAAGAATGTCTTGGAAAGGACATATTAAAAATGAGCTCGGTTGGCTTTGGGGCGATCCTCTCTGTTCTTCAACTTTGACTGGGAAATAAGACACAGTGACTTCTGAAAAAAACCATCAGGAGTAGGGAAAAAGTCAGTTTTGGCAGTGGTTTACTCCACTCACGGATCAGGAGTAACTGATCCTAAGTCGGAT